CGAATACACTCTAAAAAAATCTGAAAACATAGCTATAAGAAGTAATATAGTAAATGGTAGCTACAACTAGGTAATACCCACTAAAACATAGTGGTTTCTGAAAGTTTCTCTACTTTAAACTCCTTTGGGCCTTGGCCCCGAAGACATTTGGACAAAATATAAAATTGGTCGGTCGAAATTAATATATATAATCAAGTCGACATGTTTGAGGGCGTTTTAGACAAGAGGGGTTGCTCTAATGGTAAGCAACCTCCGCTTCCAACCAAGAGGTTGTGAGTTCGAGTCTCCCCAAGAGCAAGGTGGGAAGTTCTTGGAGGGAAGGATGCCGATGGTCTATTTGGAAACAGCCTCTCTACCCCAGGGTAGGGGTAAAGTCTGCGTACACATTACCCTCCCCAAACCCCACTAAGTGGGATTATACTGGGTTGTTGTTGTTGTACTCGCTTAGAAGTATTGTACCTCTTATTCTTTTGTAACAATGGAACAAACATACGTAGTTGTTGAGACGTAACATAAATAAGTAACTAAAGTATGTTTTCTCCAATAATTTAAATTTACAAATAAAATAATCACGTATTTCAGCATGGTATCAAAGCAAGTAAGAGTTGATATTTCATGTTTTGGTCCACGAGAAAAAAATCAAGTCGACATGTTTGAGGGCGTTTTAAGATATAAAAAAGAGGTAGCACAGTGCACAAAGCATTTCGCATTTACGCATGATCTAGGGAAATACTGCACCCAAGAGGTGTGATGTAGACAGCCTACCCTAATACAAACATTAATGATTGCTTACATACTCGAACTCGTGACCTATAAGATATAATAATATAATTAAATACTTAAATGTGTGTTCTTTGTAACCGTTTAAACTTTAGATGCATGAGTTAAGCGTACACGTCTAACAGTACCTCATGGTACGGTGCTCATGTTAGGGAATTGTTTCCATTCATCCAATACAGGATCATAAACCTCAGACATTTAGACCAAATGTCAGTTTGAACACTGTACTTAAGCACTGAAGGAACAACTTCTATATCGATTTCTTGAATATAATCGTTAGTTTCAACCCCTTCAACATCCTTGTAACATTGTCGACCTCCAATTAATTACATAAATTATCTCCTCGATAACAATCATCGCGAAACCCTTCAGCACGTGGTTCTCGAAAAGGCCTGGAATTAACGTGACTCGACTCCATGAGTTCGTTGAAGGGTAGTAACACGAAATCCAATTCGATAAGTTAACGTTAGGGGTACAAATTTCACACAAAATGAAACGTAAACGCGATAACAATTAGCATCATTTGTTTGGGATTGAAGAGAATTTTGTGAGTGAGAAGAAATGGAACTCATAATGTTGTTCTTGACTAGCTGTTAGTAAGGAAATATTGGACTAAGGGAGAGAGGGAATTGTATAGTGTGTCATGAATTGGAGTATATAGGTAGGGAAATTAAATGGAGAGTACTAAGATTTTTTTGGGGATTATTTCTATGAAATTCTTGTTACTATGGAATCAGCAATGTTTGAATATTCAGTTTGTTTTTTGTTTTGTTTCATTATACTCATAGTTCAAGGTTTTCAGTTAGACCTATACCTTGAGAGTTTTCTTCTTTTTATTCCAACTCACTAATCGGTATCCATTTGGAGCCCCCTAAATCTAAGGAAATTTTTTATATCAATGACTAAAACCAAAAACTTCTAGTTAAACATGCATATATCCTATCCATCCTACCACAATCCTTACTGGTAATAATCAGTCTGCTACCAGGATAGGATAAACAAGGATATCTCATGGGTTGGAATATCCCATAGAATTAGTTATCCTAGCTTCTATATGAAATAACTAGTCACACTAGTTTAGTACAAAATGGTTCCGGGACTAGTTAATACCCATAACAAAACTAGGGATAAAATAATCCCACATTTTATCTCGAAATTGTCATCCCCTATTCCACCAACCAAACCACTAAGAGATTGTTTGGTAAGAGGTATTAAAAAAATAATGCAAGCATTAACTTTGTATATTACTAGTCCCTTGTTCGGTATATTTTTTTAACCTATGTATAACCAATACAACTAATATTTGTATTAGTTATACATCTTATTTGGTATTATCATGTATAACTAATACATAGCAAATCATCATAGTATTAGCAATGCAATTTTTTTAATACTTGCATTGGCATGGTTAAAGACATAATCATCCTCAAATCCCTCAAAATGTACAAATTTAAAGAATATGAAGGTATTTTTGTAAACAACCAATTTTTTTAGAAATTATCCAATGCTTTAATATACCAACACAATTTGTAACAGGAACTGAGAATGGAATTTCTTTGGATCAAAGGAGACTCATTACAAGGAAATAGTAAATAAACTGAAAGACATTGCAGAGAAAATAAGATAGAACAGAAAGAAAGGAAAGGGGAGGAATAGAGCCACAGATAGGGGGAAGAAGATTCTAACAAACTTTGCCTACCACTACACTGTCTGCACTACTCTATTTAAGTAATTATGGTCCCCAACTCCTGATATTGCCTTGATTTCCACGCTCTTTATTAGTCAGCATCCAAAACATAATCAACCAACCTTTGATTGGGCCTCTTCCCCCTTTTGCTTCCTCTCGGCAAGCCCCCAAGCCCATATGCATTATCTTCGTGCAGCCCAACATCATCCCCAGTTATGACAATACCCCCATCTCTTACTTCAACAGTGACCGGAAATTACAAGATACTAAACTGAAATACAAAGAAAGGAGAAAAGGGATGAGAAGCTCAGACGAGATGATACAGGGGAGAAGGAAGATGAGGAGGAGCAGACAGTTCATTCAACAATAGGCATAAACCTTTCTTTCTATCTGATAGTCCTTTTTTAACCAATTGCTAAATGGCCCTGGATGCCAAATAAAACTCTCCAATATTTTACTCAGCCCAATCTCTTCTAACTCAGTCTCACTCACCACTTCTAGCCCATAGGCCCATATGAGGTGAGCTTGATTCATAACAATACTCCCGCCATCAAGAACCTTGTCCTCAGGTTCAAGTTAAGTATATAAACGCCATCAAATAGGTTCTGCTCATCAATAGAATTCCCGAAGTCAAAAGAATTCTTGCCCAACTAGGGTGTGTCAAATACAGGAGCATATTGGGGATGAAATTTCTTCAACCAATTTGTTTTCACAGAAGCCCTGTCATTATAAAAGATGTGGCATTTCGTTTCCAAAAGAGATGTGAAGTACTCCCTTGTAAAATGTACTGTAAAGTCTACTTCACTAAGGGAAAATGTAAGCTTTACCGTGGCAGCATCCAAGTCCAACATCCTTTTGTATGTTTCTGAGAAAATGCAATCGGTGCCTTTATGCATATAATGCATCATAATTGACAAAAATGTCACCAAAAGTTGCCACACCTTCCTGGTGTTCCACTGTTGACTTAATTACTGTAGTTTTTGTGCCCTTGCCAAGATCGTCACAAAATCCACCCCTCGTAACCGTGAAAGAACCACTAGCATGAGATTCCAACACACATTGTTCAGCATTGACACCAGCAAGTACCTCCCTAAATTCCACGATCCTTGTCCTAGCAACTTCAACAAGGTTGTTCGGGATTGACTTTTTAAGCTCGAGAAAGATGGTAGCACGCTCTCCACAAGTCAGCGCCAAAGGAATAACAGAAACAACACTACTGGTGCAGTGTAATGAACTGAAGTTTCAGCAAGTGCACCTACGATCTTGAGTAGTGCATCCTTATGTGCATTCTCTGTGTCGAACAATTGTCTGCGTGCAAGTTGTAAAACTACAGTTAAGATGCCAAATGGAGAATTTAAATCCAAACTTATAACAATGCAACCCCCTTTCTGTCTCATGTCAGTAAGAAATTCAGCAGTATAAGAAAAATCACCATCCAAAATATAACCAAATATGACTATAGTCCAAACAATGATGTCGCAGATTGGTATTTCAAGAAGATTCCATACATCTGTGGGCATGAACTTGGTAGGACTCGTACCAGAGGCAGTACAGAATGCACAATTTCTTGTAGCACCATAAAAGGTGGTAAAAACAAAATTAGAACCAGGGTCAAATGGAAAGTCTAATCTGGATTCATCAGGTGGATGGTGGAGCAAAGAAAATGGAAATTCAGCATGACCAAGTTCATATATGGGATCAAATTTACCCCTGTGAAAAAGCTGCTCATGATTGTAACCTATGTGCAAAAGTTGATCATGATTGTAAGCTGGAACAAAACAAGGTATCACCCCTAAGCATTGAGCAATCCCAAGTCCAAGTTAAGGGCATAGTAGTTTAGACTGTCCAGCAAGAAATTGGTAACAACCATCTAGAACTTTGTGAATATCAAGCATGACCAGGGCATAGGGAATATATAATGTAGAATTAATCACTAATGAAGGCTTTTTGTGATTGTTGTGAGCACGTGATTTTCGCCCTATATGAGAATCACTCCCAAAAATTCAAAATAAAACAATTTTCCTTTGTGTGCAATGTTTGTATTTTTGTGGTATTTTTGTATAATTATTTGTATTTTTGTCTGTGCATGTTTATTTGTTTAAATTAATAAAAATATAAAATATGTCGCATTTTCATTTAGTATTTATTTAAGTTTGTTTTACAAAAATGAGAAAATCATAAAAAAATAATGTACGTTGCATTTTTAGCATTTAACGTCTAAATTGTGCGATTTTATCGTTAATTGCTATTTAAATGTGCGATAATAGTTATTTGGAATTAATTAGTATTTTTTATAAGTTAATTTAGTTTATAAGTTAATTTAGAATTTTAGTTTTATTAATTAGGAAGTAAAAGAAAAGAGAGCAAGAATATAAAGGAAATCGGAATTAGGCCTCTTCTTCAATTTTGAACCACAGGCCCAAATATACCCAACCTTCCTCTACGACCCGGTCCATTGCAAACCGGGTTGACCCAGTCCATAACCCAAAACCTCACCCCACCCTTTCTATTTTCATTCTTGAACAAAAAAAATTGTAAAAACCCTAAAAAACAAGACCTAACCATCTGCCCCCCCTCTCTTTTCCTTCTTCCTCCCCAAGCTTCACCAAAGCCTCTCCCATGGCTACCTTTGCCCTTCCGTCTCCTTCCTCTTCACCCCGCCACACTCACACACACACACATCAACACATACACACACATACACAGTGCAAAACCAGCTCCACCATGAATAACCAACGTTCATGGCTGTTGCTTCCTCCTTCGTTCTTCGTCCAAACAGACCCTGCTGCTCCTCCTTCGTTCTTCGTCCAAACAAGACCCCGCTGCCATTGCTTCATCTTCTTCGTCAAGCTCGAGCTTGAGCTCGACACTCATGGCTGCTGCTGCGTCTTCTTCTCCACCCCGTCGCACGCTGCTGTTTCTCCTCATTCACGGCTGCGTTGATGCTTCTTCTTCTTCGTCATTGTCGTTGCTGCTCCTGCTACGTCCAGCCATGGACGAGATCCTCACTGCCATGGCTGCGTCTTCAAGCTCGAGATCTCGTCGCACCATGGCTGCTGCTCCGCTCCTGCTAGGCTCGTCGCTACTGCTGCTCTGTCACTGCTGTTGCTCGATGCTTCTTCTTCTCCAGCTTCACGCAGCCATGGCTGCTTTGTTGTTGTTGCTCGATGCTTCTTCTTCTCCAGCTTCGCGCGACCATGGTTGCTTTGTTGCTGCTGCTTCAGTTCTCGTCGTCGCCAAACACCCCTCCATCGAGCTTCGTCTATTGTTTAAGTTTCCGGGCAGATTCGAGTGATTTTGGTGCAATAATTGTCTCCGGACAGATTTGCTTTCATTCAAGTTCTTCGTCATTTCGATCCGGTTAGTGGGTTTGAGTTTCATTTTGTCCGTATTT